TCTGGTGGAGGGTTTTATAACCCACTACCACTCCCCGCTAGTTGGTTTGGGACGGATGGGGGGACCCTCCGCGAGGACGCGCAAACGGAGGGGAGGGAGAGGGTGTAGTGACCGGTTTGAATCAGCTGATATGATAGGTGTCATTTATTTGAAATAACTGATAAGTTATAAATAAATTCATGGAGAAATAAATATGATTTTAGTGACATAAAACAGCGAATTATTGTAAAAAATGTAAAAGTTAATTTAAGTTTAATAATTTGTAAAAGATATCAGTGTTAAAACAGATTCAGTCTGAAGGATTTAAAACACTTTAAAATGTAGTTTTTTGTTAAAAACCTTTGAAATATACAGATATGTCTGCCAGGAGTGTCAGTGACAGGCTGATCAAACACAAACAAGTGAGAACAGTTAATTAGTGTTTATATAAAACAGTCATGTTAAATATTAATATGTTTAAAACAACAATAAGCACGTGAGTGATACAGACACACCTGAAGCTCAGAAACGAAACTTAAGGAAACAGAAAGTGAAGCTGCGACTGACGGATCGATAATCGATAATTCATCAGTAATGATGACTGTAAAGAAATGATTCTTCGGTCTAATCCATCTAAAATACGTGACGTAAACAAACAAACCTGTTTTTGTTGCTGTGATGTTTGTGACGTCATAGCCGAGCAGCTGTGGTTTACAGAGAAACGAAACAGACAGAAACACAGAAGTGTTTTTAAATCCTAAATGATCATCATGTTTGAACATATTTGATTCATCCTGATGAGTTTTATTCCTCAAACAGAAAAGGTCACAGAACTGTTCCCTTTGTAACATCGTCACATCTTTGAGCATTTCTGTGGATTTATTTTATTTTCATTCAACAGGTTTTAGTGTTTGATCAGGAGACTCATCATCAAAATGAAGTAATGAACCTCTTTGTTTGTTACTGTGTTTTTTTTTGTTGACAGGAAGTCATGTAAATTCTCCCACGATATCCGATCTTATCACAACCATCAAGTACTGACTGAGTGCGAGCTGCACGAGCTCGACGAGACTCACCTGAGCCTGCTGTTGCTGCAGAACGACCCTGAGCTGCTTCCCGAGGTCACACACACACACACACACACACACACACACACACACACACACACAAACACACACACACACACACACAATATTTTCATATGTAAATATATCGTCAGTTTCATTTCTTCACTTTGAGCATCATATGGTCTTTTCTCAGTTTGTCCAGCAGAGGGCGTTAAGTGGACGTTTTCCTCTGGTTTCGTTTTTTTTTTTTACTCTCATTTCTTTTTCTTTTTACGGAGACTTAGAACCAATCAGAGCAGATTCTGTGACGGACAGGATCCTGCTCTGTGTTTGGACGATATATTCAGGGTAGACTTCATGTCATAACACAGAACATATAAAAAGAATAACAACAACAAAAAAACAACAAAAATAAAGAAGAAACAAAGAAGAAAAGTCTGAAGAAAAAAGTTGACGTAAAAAAAAAAAAAAAAAAATGTTTCCAATGGAGGGATGAAGTTTGAAGAGGTAAAAAATTAACTTTGACCCTTCAGGATAAAAATGAAACAAAATGAGTCTTTCTTGTTTTTTAATCAGTGCGTTCCTCAGGTGTGTGTGTCTCAGGTGTAACAGGTCATTGTCTCCTCCAACCTTCAGGTGTGTTCTCACTATAATAAAGGCTTGGCTCCCCGCGGTGCCTGCACCTTCCAGGTGAGCTGCACCAAACTGCATCTGTGTCAGTTCTTCGTTCAGGGCCACTGCGCGTTTGGGCTCAAGTGCAAACGGCAGCACGCCATCGACCAACGCGGCCGCAGCATGCTGGAGGAGCGAGGACTGAGCAGGAACCGGATCGAGAAACTGCCACTCATCTACAGGAACATGTACCACCTGAGCAAGGTCCTCACAGGTGAGTCTGCCGCCCTGCCACCTGTACAGTAGTCTGTTTTTGTACCTTCATCATCGTTGTTTTCACTCTTCCTGTTTGTCCATCAGAGAGAAATGTGGAACCTTTGAAGAGAGCAGACGAGATCTGTCTGCACTTCATCAGGAACAGCTGCAAGTACCAAAGTAAGTGACCTTCATCATTATCATCATCATCATCATGATCAGTCTGACTCATACACCTGATGATCATGTGACACAGTCTGGCCATACAGTTTCCTTTAATCTCCACTAGATGGCAGCAGAGTGTCAAGATTTAGACTTTAAATCAGTCTATGAAACATGTCGGGTTCCTCGACATTTAAACATGTATTCTTTTATCTTTACATTAAATTAATTCATGTATCACAGCAGCTGAAATCAATAAATTCATCTCAGTCTGAATTTTAGTGTTTTTGAAATGGAGTCTGGTGTTTTTGCAGACGAGTGTTGCTCTGTTCACTTCCACCTGCCGTACAAGTGGCAGGTGTTTGACGGCGTCGCCTGGATAAACCTGGAGGACATGGAGGACATCGAGAGGGATTTCTGTGACCCTTCTAAGACTCAAAGGTCAGAGGTCAGGAATTTGTTCCGGTGTGAAGATAATCTATTAACGAGGAGGCGACTGAAACATGTGTGTGTTCTCTTATCAGCTCCAGCCGTCAGCCTGTCAACTTCCTGTCCATGAAGCAGGACTCAAAGCCCGTCCGCCGCCTCTCCACGGTGTCCTCAGTACTGAGGCCGCCGCACTATGTCCTGACCACAGAGTGGCTGTGGTACTACAAGGGGGATCATGGAGACTGGATTGAGTACGGACGTCCGGTGAGTCCCAACGCCTCTATGACAAAGGTTTAAGGTTTAGATGCAGAGGTCCGAGGACTAGATTTAGAGGTCTGGACGCTAGTTTTAGAGGTTTGAGGACTAGTTCTAGAGGTCTGGATGCTAGTTCTAGAGGTCTGGATGCTAGTTTTAGAGGTTTGAGGACTAGTTCTAGAGGTCTGGGTGCTAGTTTTAGAGGTTTGAGGACTAGTTCTAGAGGTCTGGATGCTAGTTTTAGAGGTTTGAGGACTAGTTCTAGAGGTCTGGGTGCTAGTTTTAGAGGTTTGAGGACTAGTTCTAGAGGTCTGGGTGCTAGTTTTAGAGGTTTGAGGACTAGTTCTAGAGGTCTGGATGCTAGTTCTAGAGGTCTGGATGCTAGTTTTAGAGGTTTGAGGACTAGTTCTAGAGGTCTGGATGCTAGTTTTAGAGGTTTGAGGACTAGTTCTAGAGGTCTGGATGCTAGTTTTAGAGGTTTGAGGACTAGTTTTAGAGGTCTGGGTGCTAGTTCTAGAGGTCTGGGGTCTAGTTTTAGAGGTTTGAGGACTAGTTTTAGAGGTCTTGGGACTAGATGCAGATGTTTAAATCTAGTCCCCAGACCTCTAAATCTAGTCCTCAGAGGTCAGACACAAGTGTTAGAGGTCTGAGGACTACTTGCAGAGGTCAGTTTTTTCTAAATTGTTCATCATAAAAACATGGTTGGATCCTGACGTTGACAGTCTGAGTTCTTTCTTTAGGATGAAAAGCAGCGCACCACCTCAGTGACGTCTCAGTCTCTGGAGGTCTCGTTTCAGTCTGACAGATCTGCTGAGGTCAAAGTGAAGAAAGGACACCGACAGTACGTCCTAACCTTCCAAGGTAAGAAGTCCTGAACAGGAACTGAGTCTGATGTTTCTTCTGTAACTGCCTCTGCTTTTATCTCATCAGCATCACTCTTCTTCGTTTGTTTTGTTTTTGTCAAAGCAGCAGCCAAGTGAATAAATGAGACACTCTTCTTCTTCTTCTTCGTTGGTTTTGTTCTCTGACTTTTTCTCCTTCTTCATGGCAGACATGTACCAGAGGAACCCTAAATACAGCACAAAGAGGAGAGTTCGTCGCCGCCCTCGCTTCGTACCGGTGGTGGCGGTGCAGCCTGAGTTCTCCAGAGCACTGCCACCTTCTGTGGGCGGAGCTTATCTTTCACTTGCAACAGGTCACTTTCTGACTTCGAGTCTTTAATGTAGAGACGAGTCTGAGGATGGAGGCTGAAACGTGTCAACTGATACTGGATGACCACGTCTTGAGGTTTTCTGCAGGTGTCCAAATCTGTAGTCCATAATGCAAACACAAGTTAATGTCAGCTAACATGTAGGCTATATTTACTGCACTTCCATTTTTACTGTTATTATTATTATTATTCCTTTTCATCTTACTGAACTTTTCTTTGATTGTGTAAAGGAGAATCTTGTTTCTGAATGTTTCATTTACAAATTCTGACATCAACAAGGCGAGAAGATGAGCACTATACTGTAAATCAGAAATATTTACTGTAAAAACTACAACTCCCATGACTGAGACGTAGTTTTAACTCTGAACTGAGACAACACATTCAGACAAGAATTTTTCCTATTTTTTAAATGAAGTATTTAAAGGCATAAAGTGAGAAAACATGGGGAAGAGGATTTTGCATCATCTGTGACCTTTAAGAAAAATAAAGAATTTATTTTGTGAAAATTTTAAGACATAATTGGAACTTTTATAGAAGATATATCAAACATTATGAAATATATTTTATTTAAAGGAGAAGCCTATTTTTTCCTTTTTACCTTTCGGAGAGCTGAAGTGTTTAGATTGATAAGTTTATATATTTATATTCATGTTACATGGACTTTTATTAAAACATTCTCCTGTATTTTATTCACTTATTTACTGTTACATGAAAATAAACTTCATTTGTTTAAAGTGTGAGAGGCTGAGAGATGATTTTTTAAACACAAAAATCATTTAAGCACGCAAAACACACACACACACACACACACACACACACACACACACACACACACACACAAACAGCCATATAATACAAACAACACTTTCACACTTGTGCAAACATATTTATCTACAGCATGATTAAGTTTACGTTTTTTTAGTAGGCCTATCTCTCCATATATAGACAGATGGATTCGTGTGTGCGTGTGTGCGTGTGCGTGTGTGTGTGTCAGTGAGTGTGTGAATTGTAGATCTGATCCCGTGACGCGGAGCCTGGTCGGACTGGTACCGGGACCGGACGTGCTTTGAATCATCTGACGGTCCGGTACCAGCAGGGTGGGGTCAGATCTCTGGTTTGCTGTGTGTGATGAAGACTCGGTGATGAAGACTCGGTGATGAAGACTCGATGATGAAGACTCGGTGATGAAGACTGCGGACTGATGAAGGTCTGATTCTGCGGGGTCTCCTCCTCCTCTCGCGCAGGGAGCGCGCCGCGCGGCACCGGACGGACGGAGAGGCGTGACGCGCCGGAACCGCATCTCCAGGATGGCAGGTAGGTCTGATTCTTTACGGAGGTTTAATACGCTGATGTTAGAACGGCTCGGCTCGGCTCGGCTCGGCTCCGTATCTGTGTGTCATTAACCCGTCCTGCTGCGGATCTGGTCCGTGTCACCGGGGCTCGGTGTCGGTGCGGCGGCTCTGCAGCTCTCATGAAGCGGGGGGGCGGCTCCGCCGATCCGGATCATTCTGACGGTCACATTGATGCAAGCGGTATCACGTTAGTCCGGACCGGGGATCAGGCCCGGATGTTCTGCAGCTGTGAGCCGGGACGGAGGCTGAGGAGAGGGGGGCAGAGCAGCGGGGGAGAGCGGCAGAGGAGGGCCGAGGAGGAGGGAGGCAGGCCGGGGTGTCTGTCCGTCCGATAATTGGGTCAGTGTGAGAGGAGAACCAGCTGAGCTGAGGCGGCAGGTGTGAGCGGCCCGACCCTGAGCTGAGCCGGGCTCGAACAAGCCAAACAGATCCGAGCTGAAGAGATCAGAACCGAGCAGAGAGAGGGAGAGAGAGAGGGAGAGAGAGAGGGGGAGAGAGAGAGAGAGTGATGAATGAGAATCAGAAATGTGAAATATGTGAGACTGAAGTTTACAAACAACCTGATAATCATCTTCAGTGATCGATCATTGTCACGTTTGATCCACATGTTGGAGAGCCTCAGAGTTTCTGAAGCTCAGACTTGGATCATTGTCTGATGATTGACAGGTCAGGTGATCCAGATCCACCTGTCAGGCTCCTGGTTTAGACCCAGCAGACCTGATCATGAGCTGCTGTGATCACAAACAGATTCTTCTTCTATGGAGGAAATATTTATCCTCAAAATGATTGATCTGATGATTATCTATATTATAATTAATCGATACAAGCAGGGGCGCAGTAGAGGAGGGTGAGGGGGGCCCCAAGAGAGAATGGGGCCTTATCATAACATTATAAACTTGATGTTTAGAATGACTTGCTCGATATTGAAACCTGTTTGATACCATGGCAACAAAAACAAAGGTCCTCAACACCCAATATTGGATCACTGAATTTGTATAATTACCCATAATAGCAGGAAATTTGCTCACTTTGCCATTGTTGATGTGCAAACTTTTTTATTGTAATGATCCATAGTGTCAAAAAGTACAGAAAAAACACTTTGTCTTTTTCACAAGACAGGTTTGAAAGATCAGATCCATCAAACACGGTCCAAATTGCTCAATTATGTCGGCAACGTTTTGGAAGGCAGGTTTGAGCTAAGGAGGTTGCTGATGTTTTGTGCAACTAAGACAGTGAGCAGGAGATATTCTGCATTTTCTGATCAATAAAATCAGTAAATAACCCAATGTCGGGGTCCTAGGAGTTTTGTTTTTGTTGCCGTGGTTATCATACAGGTTTGGACTTCCTGGTCTTGTGTGTTCAGGTCCTGACGTGTGGTCGGGGATCAAACCTGAGGCTCTCTGATGATCATGGACCCTGTGATCCCTCCGGGCGCCGGCTCCAGGATCAGGACTAGGATGGAGCACAGAACGTCAGCGAGCAGCAGACGCACGCTCGCTGCGGTACTGCTGTCGGCCGCCATGTTGGTTTCTATGGTGACATCGAGCTCACCTGCTCCAGGTAAGCTCAGAAATATTTTTTTATGATTTATTTTTTGGGCTATTTTTGACTTTATTTTATAGGACAGATAAGAGTCTGAACCTGCAGGGAGGCTGTGATGGATAGATGGTGTCAAGGTGCATCATGGGTAATGTAGGCTCCAGTGTTCTGCTCCACAGGTTTAACTGGACCGCTTCAGCCCGGGTTTTAAAACAGCAGAATTATCCTTTAATGTGTAAAGTCAGAGCGTCCACACGCACTCTGAGGATGGAGGATTTTACTTCAAAAAGTTTAGCGATGCTGAGGAGGGCTTCTATGAAGATGACCTTTGACCTTAGAGCTACCAGTAGGAGCAGGAACTTCCTTATAAGGGCGTGGGAGGTGTGTCAGTGAAACAGAAATAAATCTTATTTAGATTCTTTGTCTTCCTCCATGTTCTCATCCTCCTACTGATACTGAGTCACACACACACACACACACACACACACACACACACACACACACACACACACAGACGGTTGCTCATTCAAATTATTCTTGTTCATTAATCTGACTCGAGAAGAGGTTTCAACGTTCAGGTGGGACGGCTGGTTTTGGCTTTTAAAACACTACAGTCCCATCTTTTATTTTGAAAGTGGGAGGAAGGATCCTTCAAAATAAGTCTTCAAATTCAGCCTGAGCATGCTCTCTCTCTCTCTCTCTCTCTCTCCCTCTCCCTCTCTCTCTCCCTCTCTCCCCTCCTCTCTCTCTCTCTCCCTCTCTCTCTTCTCTCTCTCTCTCTCTCCTCTCTCTCTCTCTCCCTCTCTCCCTCTCCCTCTCTCTCTCTCTCCCTCTCTCTCTCGCTCTCTCCCTCTCTCTCTCTCTCTCTCTCTCTCTCTCTCTCTCTCTCTCACGTGATACTGCCGCAAAGCACGGCGTCACCACGGCAACCAGGCACCAGATGAGAAAGGCTGTGTGTGTGAGACAGAGAGAGAGAGAGAGAGAGCTGACACAAAGACAAATAGGTTCAAAGACACTGCAGAGGAAAAGGAGCAAACAGGAAACAGGCTGTTTATATAAATAAAACCAAAAGAATAAATAGTTTAAAATAAATAGTTTATTAAAAAGTGTATACATGTAAAATATAAACTGTTATACATAGACAGGGTTTCACACACTTCTCTTCCTGTCTGAGTTGGATGTTCGGATTGATCTCACTGTCACAAGTAGCTGACTAGCCTAGCTTAGCATAAATGCTCTGGGAAACTGCTAGCCTCACTCTGTCGTAAGAGGACATCACTCTCAGGACTCTCTGGTGTGTTCAGGACTCTCAGGTTCGTTCAGGACTCTCAGGTGTGTTCTGGGGTGTGTTCAGGACTCTCAGGTTCGTTCAGGACTCTCAGGTGTGTTCTGGACTCTGGGGTGTGTTCAGGACTCTCAGGTGTGTTCAGGACTCTCAGGTGTGTTCAGGACTCTCAGGTGTGTTCAGGACTCTCAGGTGTGTTCAGGACTCTAGGGTGTGTTCAGGACTCTCTGGTGTGTTCAGGACTCTCAGGTGTGTTCAGGACTCTCTGGTGTGTTCAGGACTCTCTGGTGTGTTCAGGACTCTCTGGTGTGTTCAGGACTCTGGGGTGTGTTCAGGACTCTCAGGTGTGTTCAGGACTCTCAGGTGTGTTCAGGACTCTCTGGTGTGTTCAGGACTCTGGGGTGTGTTCAGGACTCTCAGGTGTGTTCAGGACTCTCTGGTGTGTTCAGGACTCTCTGGTGTGTTCAGGACTCTGGGGTGTGTTCAGGACTCTCAGGTGTGTTCAGGACTCTCTGGTGTGTTCAGGACTCTGGGGTGTGTTCTGGACTCTGGGGTGTGTTCAGGACTCTGGGTGTGTTCAGGACTCTCAGGTGTGTTCAGGACTCTGGGGTGTGTTCAGGACTCTCAGGTGTGTTCAGGACTCTCAGGTGTGTTCAGGACTCTCTGGTGTGTTCAGGACTCTGGGGTGTGTTCAGGACTCTCAGGTATGTTCAGGACTCTCTGGTGTGTTCTGGACTCTGGGGTGTGTTCAGGACTCTCAGGTGTGTTCTGGACTCTGGGATGTGTTCAGGACTCTCAGGTGTGTTCAGGACTCTCAGGTGTGTTCAAAACTCTGGGGTGTGTTCAGGACTCTCAGGTGTGTTCAGGACTCTGGGTGTGTTCAGGACTCTGGGGTGTGTTCAGGACTCTCTGGTGTGTTCAGGACTCTGGGGTGTGTTCAGGACTCTCAGGTGTGTTCAGGACTCTCAGGTGTGTTCAGGACTCTGGGGTGTGTTCAGGACTCTCAGGTGTGTTCAGGACACTGAGGTGTGTTCAAAACTCTGGGGTGTGTTCAGGACTCTCTGGTGTGTTCAGGACTCTGGGGTGTGTTCAGGACTCTCAGGTGTGTTCAGGACTGTCAGGTGTGTTCAGGACTCTCAGGTTTGTTCAGGACTCTCAGGTGTGTTCAGGACTCTGGGGTGTGTTCAGGACTCTGGGGTGTGTTCAGGACTCTGGGGTGTGTTCAGGACTCTCAGGTATGTTTAGGACTCTCAGGTGTGTTCAGGACTCTGGGTGTGTTCAGGACTCTGGGGTGTGTTCAGGACTCTCAGGTGTGTTCAGGACTCTGGGGTGTGTTCAGGACTCTGGGGTGTGTTCAGGACTCTCAGGTGTGTTCAGGACTCTGGGGTGTGTTCAGGACTCTGGGGTGTGTTCAGGACTCTGGGGTGTGTTCAGGACTCTCAGGTATGTTTAGGACTCTCAGGTGTGTTCAGGACTCTCAGGTTTGTTCAGGACTCTCAGGTGTGTTCAGGACTCTAGGGTGTGTTCAGGACTCTCAGGTGTGTTCAGGACTCTCTGGTGTGTTCAGGACTCTCAGGTGTGTTCAGGACTCTGGGGTGTGTTCAGGACTCTCAGGTATGTTTAGGACTCTCAGGTGTGTTCAGGACTCTCAGGTTTGTTCAGGACTCTCAGGTGTGTTTAGGACTCTCAGGTTTGTTCAGGACACTCAGGTATGTTTAGGACTCTCAGGTGTGTTCAGGACTCTCAGGTGTGTTCAGGACTCTGGGTGTGTTCAGGACTCTCAGGTGTGTTCAGGACTCTGGGGTGTGTTCAGGACTCTCAGGTGTGTTCAGGACTCTCAGGTATGTTTAGGACTCTCAGGTGTGTTCAGGACTCTGGGGTGTGTTCTGGACTCTCCGGTGTGTTCAGGACTCTGGGGTGTGTTCAGGACTCTGGGGTGTGTTCAGGACTCTCGGGTGTGTTCAGGACTCTGGGGTGTGTTCTGGACTCTCTGGTGTGTTCAGGACTCTGGGGTGTGTTCTGGACTCTCCGGTGTGTTCAGGACTCTGGGGTGTGTTCAGGACTCTCTGCTGGTGTGTTCAGGACTCTGGGGTGTGTTCAGGACTCTCAGGTGTGTTCAGGACTCTCTGCTGGTGTGTTCAGGACTCTGGGGTGTGTTCAGGACTCTCAGGTGTGTTCAGGACTCTCAGGTGTGTTCTGGACTCTGGGGTGTGTTCAGGACTCTCAGGTGTGTTCAGGACTCTCAGGTTTGTTCTGGACTCTGGGGTGTGTTCAGGACTTACCGCTTCATTCAGGACTGTAAAGTTTGTCAGAACTCTCAGGTTCATGCCGGACTCAGATCTCAAATCAGATCTTGGAGGATTAATCCCTCTCTCTTGTCTTTCAGGTGTGTTGGACTTTAACAGAACTGCAGAGTCTCTGTCTCGTCCTTCATCATCATCATCCTCGTTACCCTCCGACCCCTCTTCCCTCTCCCCCTCTCCACCTCGACCTCTCGCCCCAAGTCCGCTCTCAGAATCCGATTACCACGGCAACAGCCACGGGGCGGGCTCGTCAGAGGACTCGGACTCGGGCGCTCAGGGGATCCACCTCCTGCTGAGACCTCCAGACCTGCTGTCCCCCAGCCTCCCCCCGCCCCTCCCCCCACACACCCAGCCCACCCTCACCCCTCCCCCTCCCTGGGAGCAGGGTCCCTCCTTGGAGGAGGCCTGGGGCTCCGGAGACTACCTGGAGACTCTTTCTTTCATGGTGCCCGATGGGGAGGAGCTTGCCCTGGCCACGCCCCTTCCCAATCACCCCTATGACGAGGACGATGGGGGGGACTGGGTCTCCTACGACAACACCTTCCCCGCTCGTCCCACCCTTTCCCTCTCCTCCCGCCTTCCCCTCTTGCCCTCCTCCTCCACCCCCGGCATCGCCCTGCACACTCGCCCCGCCCACCCGGATGTCTTCCCCACCTGGGACGAGGACTACGACCTGGAGGACATGATGCCCCTGGAGCCGACGGAGCTGCTGCTCCCGGACATGAACAGTCTGGAGTACTACACCAACCTGCTCGCCCGGGAGAGGGAGAGGGGCCGGCCCGACTCCAAACCCCCCATCGCTCCGACCACAACCCAAACCCCCGCTGCCCTTCCGTCTCCATCCCCGAGCTCTGGCCCTCATCAGGAACGGGAGCCTAAGCGCCCCCCAGTGGGTCCTACCCCTCCTCTCACCCTGTCGCCTACTCTCACAGGTGAGGGGAAGCCACACCCACCATCGACGACTCTAAAAACCCCTTCCACCGCCCCTCCTCCAGCTCCAAAACCAAAAGACCACGCCCCAATCCCGGGCAGGCACCCTCCTCGTCCCCCTTCAAACACCACCAGCAGGGTGCCTCCCCCTCCACCGCTGGGCCCCCCCACCCGCCCCGACAGACCAGAGAGGCCTCCTGTGGTTGTAGAGAAGCCGGGGATGACTCCTCCAACTCAGACCACCACCACCACTACCACCACCACGCAGATCACTGCCATCAGCCTGACCAGAGCCCCTCCGGTCACAACACCTAAAGTGGCCCAGACTCCGCCCACAAGGCAGTACCTGTGTAACGTCACCAAGCCGGAGATGTACCTGGTCAGAGTAGGTAAGAGCGCAGAGGGTCGTGAGACAGGAAGTGAGGCAGCGTGCTGGTGTCTGACAGTCAGCTGATCTGAGTCTTGTTTGTGTCCTGCAGTCAGTTCCAGAGGTTCACCTGCAGGTTTCAGTCAGGTCAGAGACCTCCTGAAGAGAGAGTTCAACCGCTCAGTGGAGCTACAGGTAAACACACCTTTACCTTCACCTTTACCTTCACCTTACAGCTAACTGTGAGATACAAATAATCCTCACCTCATTTAAAGCATCACCTGCTCCAGAACTAACACACCTGATTGTCACCTGTCTGCTTCCTCGTCAGTTTCTGAGAACGCCGTCCAGTTTTGCCTTTCGAGTCGTTTCAGGACCCCTGATCTTCACCGCCATTTCGGTCATCAACGCCCTTCGCACACCGGCGCGCGGCACCGGCCCAGTTCCCACTCTGTCGCCGCTCTACACCATACCTGACCTCAGGTACCAGGTTCACTCTGTGCTGCAGTTTGTCCCCGCCCACGTGGATGTCAGGGTCTGCAACTTCAGCGAGCGGGTGGAGAGAGGGCTGATGATGGCGTACGCGGAGACGCGGAGACGGACGCACGAGGCGGGAAACGTGAGCGTACAGGTGAGTACTGCTTCCTGACAAACTTATCACTCAGGTGAGTTTATAGTTCAAAAAACAAAGACTGACAACTTATTAAAGAAACTTTAAAATCAGGCATGGACACATCTGATAACTGTGTGTGTGTGTGTGTGTGTGTGTGTGTGTGTGTGTGTGTGTGTGTGTGTGTGTGTGTGTGTGTGTGTGTGTGTGTGTGTGTGTGTGTGTGTGTGTGTGTGTTCTCCAGCTGTTAAACGTCACCCTGAGCGTGACACGCCCAACAATGGAGAAGAAAGTTCCGGTTGACATCACCTTCGCTGTGCGGGATGGGCGAGACTACCTGCTGGGGTCAGAGGTCAGCGAACACCTGAGGAAGCTGAACCTGGTTGAGTTCAGCTTTTACGTCGGATTTCCCGCCCTTCAGATCGCAGAACGTACGACACGCACACACACATATATGTTTATGTGAAGTAAATGATTGCTAGATGTGTAATAAATAAAAAGGTGTTTGGTCTGTGTGTTTGTGTTTACAGCGTTTCATTACTCTGAGCTGAACACGTCTCACCACCTGCGCTCCACCTGGGTCCGCACAGGTGAGGACACATGTGCTTCGTTTTTATTGCACATTATGACATTCTGTGAACCACTCGCCACAAGACCACAAGGTCACTAGAGATGACTTTGTGTGTGTGTGTTTGTGTGTCTGTGTGTGTTTGTCTACAGTCCTGTTGGGGGTTCACGAGCAGCTGGTGGCTGAGAGGAGCTTTAAAGCTCGTCTGGAGAGACGCCTGGCTCTGCTGCTGGAGGAGGGACTGCAGGGAGTCAACAGGAGGCGCTGGAAGAGAGCTACAGCAGTGGGCAACAACAGTCTGCAGGTATACACACACCATACAGGTACACACATCATACAGGTATACACACATCATACAGGTATACACATCATACAGGTATACACACATCATACAGGTATACACACAGCATACAGGTATACACACATCATACAGGTATACACACATCATACAGGTATACACGCAGCATACAGGTATACACGCAGCATACAGGTATACACGCATAATACAGGTATACACATACAGGTATACACATCATACAGGTATACACACATCATACAGGTATACACGCAGCATACAGGTATACACGCATAATACAGGTATACACATACAGGTATACACATCATACAGGTATACACACAGCATACAGGTATACACACATCATACAGGTATACATGCAGCATACAGGTATACACACATCATACAGGTATACACATCATACAGGTATACACACAGCATACAGGTATACACACATCATACAGGTATACATGCAGCATACAGGTATACACACATCATACAGGTATACACACATCATACAGGTATACACAGTATACAGGTATACACACATCATACAGGTATACACACATCATACAGGTATACACATCATACAGGTATACACACATAATACAGGTATACACACACCATACAGGTATACACGCATCATACAGGTATACACGCATCATACAGGTATACACACATCATACAGGTATACACATCATACAGGTATACACACATCATACAGGTATACACACATCATACAGGTATACACATCATACAGGTATACACACATCATACAGGTATACACACAGCATACAGGTATACACACATCATACAGGTATACACATCATACAGGTATACACACATAATACAGGTATACACACACCATACAGGTATACACACATCATACAGGTATACACACAGCATACAGGTATACACACATCATACAGGTATACACGCATCATACAGGTATACACGCAGCATACAGGTATACACGCATCATACAGGTATACACACATCATACAGGTATACACACATCATACAGGTATACACACAGCATACAGGTATACACATCATACAGGTATACACACACCATACAGGTACACACCTTATTCAGGAATTGTAAACCTGTTGTGAAACTGTTGTTGACTTGTTGTGTCTCAGGTTGTCCGGGTGTTGTCGTTGTCTGGTCCAGAGCGCCCCCTGGAGGTCTTTTATTTTGTGGAGGGTCCAGGCGGTGAGCGTATACCAGCTGAGGTGACAGCAGCCACCCTTAACCGCGTTGACCTGCAGAGAGCCGCCATCGTGCTGGGACACCGAGTCCAAAGACCGCTCGCCCAGCGTGAGTCCAGAACCTACCCTACCTCTACTCCAACACCTGTCCATCACACCTATGTGACTCACCTGTCTGCCTCCCCTGTCTGTCTGCAGCGGTGGAGACCCTCTCCATCCCCCCTGCAGAGACTCAGAGCAGCAGTGTCTGGCTGATTGTGGGTGTGGTCGTTCCGGTGCTGCTGGCCGTCTTCATCATCATCATCCTGTACTGGAAGCTGTGCGGCTCAGAGAAGCTGGAGTTCCAGCCAGACGCGATAAACACGATCCAGCAGAGGCAGAAGGTGAGCGTCGGCAGGAAGTGGTCAATATTTCCTGTGTTTGACGCACTAACAGCTTACCCTTGTCGTTTCTCAGCTCCAGGCTCCCAGCGTCAAAGGTTTCGACTTCGCTAAGCTTCACCTCGGTCAGCACAGCAAAGACGACATCATGGTGATCCAGGAGCCTGGCCCCCTGCCCGCCCCTGTCAAAGAGGCCACACCCTCCGACGGTGGAGACCTCAATACCCCCAAATCTAAAGGCTCCTCCACCAAGGCAGCGCGCTCCGGCCGCCGCAGGGGCCGGTAGGATCACACCTGTGGACTTCTTACCTTTTTAAAACATTCTTATTTTACCTTTTATTTTAATTTGTAGATGTTTCATTGTGTCAACCAAAAATCTGATTCTGGTTCTGTAAAAAATGTCTTTAAGAAACACCTGAAACTTTAATTTTTTTAATAAACAAGTCCAAGCAAACTGTAAAATATTGGTTTAAAATATTGAACCTGTTTTTCTTTGTTCAGGCTCAGCCCATCAGACGGTGACTCGTTAGGAAGCGAGCAATCGAGCGGCAGAGAATCGGCCGAGGAAAGCACTCGAGCTGTGGCCACGCCCAGTGAGGGGAAACAGCACAGGAAGACGCCCAAAAATGGTAAGCGACTGTGATATCCTCACCTGAACTGATTGAGAAGAAGTGAAAAACAGAGGTCTAAACATCTTCTCTTCTCTCTCTGGTGATTCTGGACTGTAGGGAGGAGCAAGATGGGTACGTTTACACCTTTGATCATCACCAGTTTGATATTTACAACTAATCAACTTCCTGTTAACCTCTGACCCTTTGACCTCAGGTGGCGGTCCGGACGAGCTCCTCTCCTCCTCCTCCATCTTTGACCACGTCGACCGGCTTTCTCGGGGCTCATCTGACGGCACGCGTCGCCAGGCCAACAAGGTGCAGCTGATTGCCATGCAGCCTCGTCCGAGCCCGCCGCATGCCGCGTCACAGCACAGCCCCACCCTCACTGAGAAGGTCAATACAGAGGTGAGAGTGCACAAAAAAACCCCACACACATCCCAAAACTCGTCTCATACCTGTCTGACATCATCATAACGTTCACCCCTGCAGGTGGCGCTGAGACACAAGTCAGAGATCGAGCATCACAGGAACAAACTCCGGCAGCGAGCCAAGAGGCGGGGCCAGTGCGAGTTTCCCTCCATGGATGACATCATGGACGCATTTGGAGAGGGACCCGTGCAGAGCGAAGTGGCGCAGCGTCTCTATAGCTCTGCCCACGACCACATGGACTGCATCCTGCAGGCCGACGGCCAATCTCCCCCCACCCCCAACGACTCCAGGAAGAGGTCAGAGTTCACCTGAGAGTGACGCTGACACGCTTAAAATGTGTCTCAATTAAATAAATAAAAATATATGATGGCTGATATCTTAACATGTGTGACGCTCGTTTAACACCTTAAATAAACAGTCAAGACTTATTCCTACCCTTTCCATGTGTTCCATGCCTCCAACATCGGAACCATCATGAAACACATGCTAACTTTGTGTATTTGTCCTTCCAGAGGGAGGCGCTCTCCTCGGGGTCGGCGGGCTCAGCCAGGACCTGGAAGTCTTCCTGATACAGACAGAGATCGGTTGCTCACTGATCAAAGCGCCACCTACAGGAAATACCCAGGACTGAACAATGTGGCGTACATGGTGAGATACACATGTGGTTTTCAAGTGCGTCAACTATAGAAAGTGGAGTTCCTCAGGGTACTGTTTTGGTTCCTTTTTTGTTTTTATTAATGATTTAAATTAGTTTTTTCTTTTGAATTGTTTGTGGATGATTGTGGATGATCTGTTATTATTTTGTAGCTTAATTAAATGATTAAGATGTTATATCTTTATATAACCTTGGATTTAAGAAGGGGCACCACTTCCTGTTAAAGGAAGAAAATAATTTTAATGGTAAGTTAATTAATTAATCAGTCCGTTTCATATCTTGAAAGAAGTAAGTTCTGGAAATGTTAAACAAGAAAACACACAGACGAAGTTCTGAATTTTATGTGTAAAATTTTATATAAGAAGGGGTAAACAATAAGGAATAGATGAAACAGATAAAGAATATGATTATTATGATCAGGATAATGCAATTATAATGTATGGTGACATTATATATTTAGTAATGAGATAAGACGCGGTATTGTTTGAATGACTTAATCAGAAAATGGTCAAAAATAAAAAGTTGATAAAGGAGTTTTGGGATTCTATTTGGATTTAAAGGAGGGCTCTGAATAGACACGACTCAAGACTTAATCTTCCAACACCCCTTGCCACCAGCAGTCTTACTGTGAGATGTGTTCAATTGAACTCCGCCGGCTGGTCCCGCGTTTCAGTCTCTGGCAAGCGGTTCTTTACAAGCCCAGAGAGGTCCACGGGCCAGATTAGATGCTCTTGACACCTTGGTCGGAGTGTGCAGCTGGGATGGAGATTGTACGTCGGTTCAGCCGTCGTCTCAGAAGCTCCAAAAGGATCCAACAGGAAAAAAGTATTAAAGAGTCTTTTGATACGTCGATTTCCAATTCAGATTAACCGGATGGCCATCTTGATGAATCCAAATTAAGGAATTGGTGTTAAAAATTGAAGAGCAAAGACTTTAGAGGAGAAAGTTCAAAAGCCTTGCTTGAGCCAGAAAGAATTGATGTTTCCAAAAATTGTGCGTGAAAATAAAAGTTCGGCAGAGAGTCGCCTCTACGGCACAAACTTAAAAGAAGTGATTTGGACCGAAGTCCGAAGAGAAGCGAGCAAGAGCTGAAGCTCTAAACTTCAACAAACCAAAAACTAACTAAAAGAAGAACTAAAGATCTGAGCTCAGTGTCAGCTGGATGGGAGGAGGGGGGTCTGCAGGCAAAGAGGGGTGCCGCCCACGGGTGACTCCCATTCTGACCGTAGGACAATTGTTTAAACTAAACCGAGTTTACTCAATAAGATTAAGAATAAGAATCTAAACATATATACGTCACCATACATTCATTTCGATATTATTTCTATCAGATCCACGTTGATGTAGGTTCACGTCATATATTTAGACAAACATTTCTATCAGATTCATGTTGAGATGAAAATCACACCATCTGGGAACATCCTCAGTTAATCCCAGCCTGTAGGTGAACAAAAACATGTTATACAGTCAGCATTCTTAATAAGACATATTAATAAAGTAGGAAAATAAACTGGTGTCTTTAAATAACACCTTCTATAGCTAATATCAAAGAGTATGCTTTATAACAAGTCTAAATGTATAATTATGAAGGTTACTTATTCATGGATATTCTAACACTAGATGGCAATAGCGCTCCATGTCAAATTCCTATTAAACATAATATAACTCTTATTCCTATTCTGAAAATCAGATTTTGAGTTTAAAAAGATGATTATAATACATTCAATGTGACAATTACAAATATCTAGATGAAGAAAGACATAAATGTTCATTTGATGCAGAATTGAACGCTGTGGTTTAATCAGTTCTTCAGCAGTCCTTCAACAGATGGTCAATTTTACAACTTTGCAGAGACTGGTTTCGGTCACAGTTCATGTCTTTGGGGTCAATTCGTAGATAGCAGAGTGTTCAGTTTCTGCTCGGTTGTTTATTCAAGGTGTTGTAAAAGTTCATAATATCCTGTCTGAGAGGGAGATCCTTAGTTCCTTGGTAAAGTAAACAACATGTTAATCCACAGTCCTGAGTCCTGCAGGAAGAGAGGTTGTAAAACGTGGCTGCTGATCACGGCTACAATTTCATGAACACAGCAACACCGAAATATTGACATCTAAGAGAAATCTTTGGACTTTCCAGTAAATGTTGTGACTATAGATCATTGTTTAACTGTAAGAGGTCACTGCTGTCACAAGATGTGGGAGTTGTTTGATTTCTTTGCTTTTTTGTTTGACCTTGATGAGACCTCTCCTCTGTGTTCTGTTTCTTCCGTCTCACAGTCCGATCCGGACCTGCCCCCCGGATCACGGAAGCCCCTCCCCCACTGATGAAGTGTTTGACTCTGCCCCACCCCCGCCCCCCTACATGCCCCCCCAGCCCTCCATAGAGGAGGCGCGGCAGCAGATGCACTCCCTCCTGGACGACGCTTTCGCCCTGGTGTCGCCGTCCTCGCAGGGCAGCGCCGGGCTGAGTGGGGTAAGCCCTGCCCTGCCTAGCCCCTCCCCCCAGACCTGCCCCCCAGGCAGGCAGTGGGGCTCTTACCAAGCAGCCCCCTCTCAGAGCCCCTTTTCTGCAGTGAGTGTGTCATCCTGCTGCTGAGGCCATTTTCCTCCCGTCTTCCATTCATATTGAGCTTTTTTCTCTTTCTCCCTGCAGAGATACGCAGAACTAGGGATGTCTCCCACGTCTGTCCAGGGTCTACTGCAAAGGTCAGAGTCCAAACACACCTGTTCTCACCTGTTCTCACCTGCACAAAGAACAGGGTCAGGTGTACAGGCTGGACCAGTCCTGATTGTTTGTGTTTGGTTTGTGTAGACAGGGCCTGAGTTCAGGAGGGTACATCTCTACTGGAGACCAGCTGCAGGACTCTGTTTACTCCAGCAGGGGGCAGTATGAAGACCCCCCTTCATCATCCAGACCGCGACCTGTAGGGGGGCAGCACAGGTACAGACATCTGAGGGTTCTAATCATGAGCATTGCTATCATGTCTGAATCTCTCACACCTGTAGACTGAATCATCTGACCTACTTGACCCCCAGGTGCACAGCTCCATCACCTGACCCAGGTGGGTCTGTCGAGTCAGATCAGCGCGTATCCCGGGGTGGGTCGCAGTATGTCGGGTCCAACCGGCTCCAGCTGGAACCAGCAGCACTCGGACCAGGACCTGTCGAGACCAGGAGCCAGCAGAGAGAGTGTGAGTACCTGTTTGGGGGATCAGTCTGATATCCAGTTCTGACCTGTCTTCTCCCGATCTCACCTGACTAACATGTTAGATCATTTCAGGCCAGATCAGTCCAGTTGAGTTAACCCCAACATGACCTGGTTCGGACCTCAGTAGGATTAAGGTTTTCTTTTCACTCTTCTTTGGTTCATGTCCTTTTTTATTCTCTAAAATTAAATCAGGATCCTGTGGACATGTACTGGTGGGACGCACACAGGGGGCGCCCCTGAACCGGTGGAATTCCTTTTCCAAATCCAAGTCCTTACAGACTGAGATACTGACGCCCCAAGTCTGTTTGCATTTGTTATAACCTCTGAAAAATGAAATGTATTATCTGTATCATCTTTTTAATTTTTTTAAATCTAGACTTATTTCTATTCTTGGCACCGCCCTCTTTATCTCTCTCTCTCTCTGTTTTTTGCCCCGCCCTCTTTATCTCACTCTGTTCTTTGCCCCACCCTCTTTATCTCTCTCTGTTCTTTGCCCGCCCCCTTTATATGTCTCTCTGTTCTTTGCCCCGCCCTCTTTATCGCTCTCTGTTCTTTGCCCGCCCTCTTTATGTCTCTCTGTTCTTTGCCCCGCCCTCTTTATCGCTCTCTGTTCTTTGCCCCGCCCCTTTTATATTGCTCTGTTATTTGCCCCACCCTCTTTATATGTCTCTCTGTTCTTTGCCCCGCCCTCTTTATCTCTCTCTGTTCTTTGCCCCGCCCTCTTTATCTGTCTCTCTGTTCTTTGCCCCGCCCTCTTAAACCATGCTTTCTTCCTCCAGGTGCTGTCGTTCCCTGAGTTCTCCTCATCCTCGGTTTTTCAAATGCCCAGCTCCTCGTTGCGGGACCCATCTGCCCCGCCCCTCCTTCTGACCTCACCGACCCCCGAGTACCCACCTGAGGATGCCTCCCCTTCCGCCCACACCTCGGCCTCCCTGATAAAGGCCATCAGGGAGGAGCTGCGACGTCTGGCCCAGAAACAGGCAGCAGTGACCAGTTACCCTTAGACTGGTCCGGGATTCTCTTGGATCAGTACTGGACAGGTTTCCGAGCCTGTAAGGACCAGCTTACAAACATGAAACTGATCACAACACTTTGGACTGTGGATCTACGACTGTGCCGTCAAACACTTAATAACTCTGGACCACGATCCACATCTGAATGAGGACAGAGTCTCTGGACTGAAGGACCTCCGGTTCTGTACAGGGTCCCCATCTATTCGTCTGTCTGTCATCCTTCAGCTCCATGTTCATTGGTCAGTTCTGACTCTTCATGTTTCCATTCAGGTGCTTCCTAAACAGGTTCAGTCACTGATAATCAATCCACAACTTCAGGAGCAACACTTTTATTCTGAATGTTTTATTCCTGCTGTTCCTCAATGAATCGTTTTAATGATGGTCTGATGTGGATCATCGATCCTGAGCTCCTGATGGTCTCTCCTGACTTGGTTAGGGAGATCTTTTAGTCCTAAACTTCTGGAGCTGATTGTTTTCCCCCCTCACATTCTTCAGTGGCAGTTTATTCCTGAACACATCGAGTGGATCATCTGGCCTTACTCTCCGGGGGAAGAGAGCACTGCTGGATTCTGGAGTGCCTGGTCACTACAGACTCCCTGCAGAGATCCAGCCTTGCTCTTCCAGAAATTCAATGAAGATTGTTTTTTTTAAGCATCTGAACCCTCCTGACCGTACGATTTGTCCTTCCTGACCCTACAAGTGGATGTTCCCTCCTGACCCTACAAGTGGATATTCCTTACCGATCGTACAGAAGGATGTTCCCTGCCAATCGTTCCTCCTGAAGTTCTGACCTCGATTGTCTCTCTGGACCTTCTGTGGTGCTAACTGTCAGCCTCGTACCATCTCCTCATCGACCACTTATTGCCTTCACATCCCATCAGCCGCGAGGAACAGGTCTCCGTCCATCAACCACATCAGTGCAGTCTTTGCACTGTCGACAGCTGGAGGTGGCAAATAGTTCCTACGGCAACAGGACGCAAAATAGGAAAATAAAATAAATATCTATAAAGTTGATATAAATATCTGTAAAGAGATAGAATCCCAATGAGCACAATATAAATGTCAGAGTAATTATCGGAGTATTGAGATGTGACTTATTTTTTATTGCTTATAAATGAAAGTATACTTTAAATCCTTTATTTTGATCAAAAAAAAGACCAAACTACTGTTCTAGTTGTGTTGCTCTTGTGTTTGAGCTCGCTGTAGATCTGAGCCTGCGCTTATTTCTCAGTGTAGGCGTTGCTTACCGTAGCTGCTAGCTTGTTGTGTTCATGTATCGGTGGCAATGAAAAAAGAAATACTGCTATTGCATTGCTTTAATATATCGAGTTCCCTCATTGGCAATGTGTTGCATTCATCAATCTGTGGGCAGAAAAATATAGATTAATTTTTCTGTGCGGAGGCAGAGATGTGAAACCAGTCGTTCATCACAACCGGAAGATGAAGCTAATAGCCAACACACCAGCGTCCCTCGGAGGCTTTAAAGTTCATTATACTCGAGAAAATTGCCCAAAATAGATGTAATGAGTGGAGCAGTGATGATTTAAGGTCAACCTTAAATGTCCTTCTTATCTGCGTAAGGTTAACAAGGGAAAGAAAACGGGACCCAGGACAGAACCTTGGGGTGCACCACAACTAAGAGTCACAGATAAAAACTTGAAAACAAAGCTGCTTCAGAAGTTTTAAGTTTAAGATGGAAGATTTGCTTTTCTCTTTTAATTAATGGTTGTAGCTATGAACCATAAGTACTCTTTAAATTCTACATCTGGCACTCACAGACTACCTGAAAACCATCCCACTGGATGATTTCAACAACTCTGACATTTTTTGTCTTCACGGGCCGGTTGTGCAGCTGAACGACTGGTTCTCCTCTCTGCTAGTCGGCTGTTTTCTTTGTAGTGTTGTGGAGAAGTCAGTCGCTCGTAAAAAAAAAAGAAAAAAGAAATCTGGTTTCATTGAGTAAAAGAGGGTTTGTTCGTCTCTGCTCTCTGCTCTTCTTTAGCATGTTTGACTAAGTTTGAGGCTTTAGCTACTCGTGATGTTCCAGTAAATGTTAGCATGCTGCTTAAAGATATTTAAAAACAGAATTTGAAAAAGTAAAGAGTTGTTCCACATCAAGTTAAGAGTGAGCAAAGAGTGCCATCAAACCATCATTCATCCAAACACAGTAGGAAAAAAAATCATATGAATCATGTATTTTTTTTTTTTTTTGCATTTACAAAAGCTATTTTTAAATCTAAAGAAAGTGGATATGGTGTTTAATAGAAAACATAATATATATGAAATATTTTATCTGTGATCGCTCTGCTGAATGGACTCAAAGATCTGCCCATCAACAGTGCCAACACATCCTTCATGGAGCAGGAACACACCACAGAACTTGTCGCTGGCTGTGGACTCTCTGATTGGACCTTAGCACCTGTCATTCAGGCTGTAGGACTTGGTCATACCCTACAGGTTCACATGGTGCTAAATCTACGACTCCAGGTGTGTCTGAAACACGTCAGATCACGCCTGAAACAGAAAAAAAGTCAACCTGTGTACAGTGCAGGTGACAAGATGACCCGAGGAGTTTGTATTGTCGTATCAATCTTCTCCTGAATGTTTCCTTCAATGTTTTCTAGAGTTTCTGTGTTTTCTAGATCCTCAGTGAGTGGACGATGTTTACTCGTGACAAAACTACAGATCCCGTCTTACTCGCATTACACTAACACAGACAGAGCCTCCAAGTCCTGAAATCTTTTCTAAATCGTGTGCAAACAAGATGTTATCCAGATACAAACATGTCCAAACATCCTTACAGAAGTAAACAAGATACCGAACACTTATCACAAGATTATAACGACATGTTGAGTTATAAGAAAACAAAATATTAACTTTCACTAATTTGTGCTTGTGGGTAACACAATTTGACAAAACAGATAAATCTTCTAACCTTTATTAGGGACTCAAAAACAAAGATGTCTGTGCAAAGTAATATTAGAAGTACTTAGTATTTTGCATGCAGATGCTTGTACAATGTCTAACTTGCAAAAGTATTTATTGGCAATAAGTTGAATGCAAGTTAGACATTGTGCACGTTTTTCCTTGTGTTTTCCTACTCTACCATTGAAACTGAAAACATGTTTTGTAGTTTCTGATCTGTAATGGTCGCACAGTTTGAGTCTGTAGTTTTGTCCTGAATAAAAAACGTCCCTCTCTGAGCTGAACCACATTCCCGCCACTCCTCTCAGGTGATGTTCCAACACGCAGCTTCACTGAGACCGACCAGGTGAGCTCGCATCTGTTCCAGGTGTGATTCAGGTAACTCAGTGAGACTGCCTGCTGGAAAAACCTGAAGGAAAAAAGTTACTTTAATGTGACATCAGTGACCTGGGAACACTGCCAGCAGTCTCACCTGTCCGCCTGCAGCCAGGTGAGTCTGAGTGTGTCACATGACAGGACCTACGTGACCTTTGTGTGAGCTGCATCCTGTTTGAGTCTAAAAGATTGTGTTATCTAACATTAAAGAGATGTGTTTAAATCAAGCTGTGACTGAGGGTTATTCATTATCTTGTATTTTTTATGATTTCATCTGTTTGCTGCTGCGCAAATGCAAAAAAAATATTTGAAACTTTATTTAAAAAAGTGACTTCAGCTGCAGGAAAAACAAGACATTCACCTACACTGTGATGTCATAATGGTAGATTAAGTCTGTTTTTAACGGGGGCGTTAATCGCCCACCCCAAGTGTCCTAAACTGTGATTGGCTACTAACCCATGTCAGAGGCGGGACTTATGAGTTGCAGAGAGAACCCTTTGCGTTTCTGGACCAAGCCTTCAGCCAAACATCCTTTAAATAATCTGTTTGTTTAAGGATTTTCTTTAACAAACAAGATATAAAATGTTGACCTGACTTGTCACAAAGAGAGTCAACACCGATCAGAAGTATCTTCAGGTGAATTCGGTTATTCAAAGATCCTCTGTAGCGACGTAAGAGGAGAATATCTCACCTGTGCTGAGCATCAGATGCAAATATTCCAGTCAAGTTTAATTCATCAAAAGTGTTTAAGTATATACTGTAACAGGCTACTCTGTTACCCTGCCTCTGGTAATCTGAACAGAGCTGCCCCCTCCCCAATCCGGTGTGTAAACAGACCCTCCTGCCCCTCCTCCTCCCCCTGCTCCCTAGTGACGGTGATACACCTGAGCCAGGTGAACAACACTTTACACCGGAATATCTGTATATCTCATTTCAACCTCTCCTTCAGCCTCAGAGGAGAAAACCCGGACATCTCAATCGTTTAAAAACGTCCTCTGCGTGAGTACATTGATAAGTTATAAACCTTTTTTAATGTGAACAACACTTGTTGATCGTTGACTTCCTGCATTAAAGTGAAGCTAACACCAAGCTAATGTGACAATTCGATCATTACACCGTAACATCCTCCACATGTTCGACTTTAATCGACCACTCCTTTTGACCGATATTCGACTAAACCGTGAAAACCCTTCAGCTAAACCCCTTTTAAAAATCTGTCGCTTTGGAGTTTTCTGTCTGCAGAAGGTGGGGTGATGTTCAGACGCGACTGAAGAAGAGTTTAAATATATCAAACTTGTCCATTGATGAATTTGGCTTGCACATTATTCACCTTCAGACTCTTCAGGTAAATAAACAGAGGCTTGTCTTCCTGCTCTTATTTGATTAAACTAATAACCTGCAGTTATTTTGTGCAGAGGTTCAGATTTATTCAAATCACTGACTGCTCCTCGGTTTGTTAAATATACGATCTTTGTTTTTAAACCTAAAAGTTCTGGAGGAATGAGCAGCCGGGAAGCGAAAACTTTAAATTTATTTTTAAAGGTGCACTAAGTAGATTTAATCATGACGAAGTGAAACAACTCTATGCTGTGTTTTCTGAACTGAATACACAAACTTTATTCAAATAAAAAAAATGGGTCCCTGAACTCTCTTTGGAGTTAAAAAGCGACCAGGTGAGTGACAGCTTCAGTTCCAGGGACCACATGTTCCTCTGAGGACACTTTGTGTACAGAGTTATGAACATAAACCGCAGAATCTGTACATTTCTCCAACTTTCACATTTCTCTACAAACTCCATAGTGCACCTTTTTAAGAGAGTTTGGCGGAACTTGATCTCAACCAGAAAAACGAGTTCAGGAATGCAGAAAGCTGATTAGAGTTTCTCCTAAAAAAGGTTTAAAAACGAACAAAAAGAAAAGGTCAAAGTTTACAGAAAAAGCCCCTGTTTTTTTTATTTTTTATTTTATTTTACAGGGACATTGCATATTAATTATAATTTCTGTAAATATGCCAGAGTTACCCAAAAGGCTAATTTTCATCTGTTGTCCCTGGCCAGATTTTATAAAAGGCTCCCTAAAAAAACAAAACAAATTCAAACATTGCTAAAAGCTACAAAAACAAGTATTAGTAAAAGCACGTATCCAATAACCTACTAAAGTAACTGTAACGTGCACACAACAAGACAACATGTAACACTATACACAATAAACACATACAAATTACAAATTACACAAGGCCACATAAAAAACATTGAGTGAGCTATACCTGAAGCTCACCTCAACAGACAACAACACGCAGGCCACATTCATTTAAAAAACAGCACACATTCATCAACAACCAGACACAAGGGGGCAGCAGCGAGCAGAACAGGTTTAGTGCTGGCAGATGTGGTTATCAAATAGCCAGTGTTTCAGATGTGAACTAAATGAACGATATGTGTTGCTCTCTCTGATAACTGTTGGGATGTTGTTCCATTCACGTGAGGCTGGAACAGAAAAGGCCGACTGACTAAAAACACACTTCGTTAGAGGAATAATGCGGTCGCCTCTTGAGACACCCCTCCTGAAGTGATGTGTGTTTGTTCATATGCTTACAAACTCTCTGAGTGGGGGAGGGGCCAAACCATGTGAGATTTTAAAAAGGAGCATTTTTGTGTTTAATCATGTTCTCCCAGCTCAGGAGGTTGTATTTTCTGAGGATTGAACAGTGGTGGAATTGCTTTGGTTTTTTGTCTAAAACTTTTGTTGTCTGTTTATACAAAGACTGTAGTGGTTTTAATGTGGTGGGACTTGCCTGAGACCAGCTTGTCAAACAGTTGGTCATATATGAGAAAATCATTGAATGCATGTACATGTTGGCTGCTTCAGTAGACATGGAGTTTCTGATAAATCTGAAGTTGGCAAGGTTAAATTTAATTTGTTTACAGATTTTCTTTTACATGTGCTTTAAAGTTCAGGTTGGAGTCAAGTATAATGCCAAGGTATTTGAATTCTTTTACAATCTGTAGTTTTTCTCCTGACACATGTATGTCTGGATCGGATATCTGGTTTGAGTCATTTGTTTTAGTGAAGAACATACCAACAGTTTTAGACACGTTAAGTTGGAGACAGCACTGATTAAGCCATGCTGTAATTTTGACCATTGCGGTTGTTAGTTTTGAAGCAACTTCTGCTTTTGTTAAACCATGCACATACAAAACTGTATCGTCAGCATACATTTGAATGTTAACCTCAGGACACACAGATGGCAGGTCATTTACATACAGGCAGAATAAAAGTGGGCCCAGTATAGATCCCTGAGGAACGCCCGTGGACAAGCAGAGGGCGTCAGATTGATAATTAAGTATTCACACACTTTGAGAGCGGTTGGAGAGATATGATTCTACCCATTTCAGTGCATCAGCAGAGAAATTAAAGGTGGATAACTTAGATAGAAGAACCCTGTGATTTACAGTGTCAAATGCTTTTCTGAGATCCAGAAAGACAGCACCAACAATGCCACGGTTATCTAGCAGTGATTTGATTTTTTCAATGAAGAAGCAATTAGTTGTCTCTGTTGAGTGGTTGGATCTGAATCCAAACTGCATTGGATGCAGGTGATAAGAGTTGTTGTTCAGGTGATGTATAATTTTCTCAGCCGCCCATTTCTCTGCAACTTTAGACATAAAGTTATCACCTTATTTCTTAACATGGCAAAATGAAATTTGTCGTGGAACAATCTGGTCTTAATGGCTATTTTCGGTGCCAGATCTCGCTCTTTCATCAGTTTTAAAATATCTGCATTTATTTTGTTTGTTCGTGTTTATTGTTTGTGTTTAGTGTAATAATCTGTTTTAATGTGTGAAGCCAAATTAAAAAAACTTTTACTGTATCTGACAGTAAAAACGATGGGTATGCATCTTATCAGAATAAAACAAATTATCAGTCTGCATGTTTGAATAATAACACAGACACACTTTCACTCTGAAATCCAGACCAACCAGTGAAACCAGTTTATCAGTGTACGATGCAAACACACTGAACCACATACTCCAAGATTTTAAAATAAATCTTTTTTTGGACCCTGAAGGTGGGTCACCTGTGGAGGTTTGCTTTATGTCGCCGTGTCCTTCCACAATAAAGTGCTGAGTTTGAATGGATGACGGTATGAAGACTCAGCTGGTGAGCGCCATCCACCTGCAGGATGTGGAACTGCAGGAGAACCCTGCAGACAAGCAGCCGGGCGCCAACAACAACCGCAGTGAGTCAGAAATTAGAGAGTTCCTCCTCCAGCCACCAGGGGGCAGCACCTCCTCTCCGAGCCTCTTTAATTACCACATTGTTGTAGACTTATTAAATCTCAGGTGTTTAAACAGAAACGTCACCTGTGTCACACTCTCAGCAGACGAGACGTTCACTGTCGAGGAGGCCGTGGAAACTATCGGCTTCGGGCGGTTTCACATCCTGCTGTTCATCATCATGGGCAGCGCCAGCGTAAGAACACCTTTGATTCAGGTTACCTGTTGATCTGCAGGTGTATCATGACCAGTGTGTATTAAAGTGTGTATTGTTGTGTGTGTGCGTGACAGATCGTAGAGGCGATGGAGATCATGCTGCTGGCCGTCGTCTCTCCTGAGATCCGCTGTGAGTGGCGTCTGGAGGACTGGCAGGTCGCTCTCGTCTCCATGGTGAGTCGCTGAGTTCTGTCAAAGGTTATTTAACGACTCCTGATATTAACTGTGTGTGTGTGTGTGTGTGTGTGTGTGTGTGTGTGTGTGTGTGTGTGTGTGTGTGTGTGTGTGTGTGTGTGTGTGTGTGTGTGTGTGTGTGTGTGTGTGTGTGTGTGTGTGTGTGTGTGTGTGTGTGTGTGTGTGTGTGTGTGTGTGTCAGATGGTGTTCCTCGGCTTCATGGTGTGTGGAGTTCTATCAGGATACGTCGCAGATCGGTACGGACGCTGGAAGGTCAGAAACACGTTAATCTTTTTTTTTTTTACTGTTGTGCATCGCTGCATATGAACACATAGTGAAGGTGTATTATTGTGTATTTTGATGCATTGTTGTGTATGTGGTGTGTATATCAGGTTGTGTTCGGGGGCTTCGTGTGGAGCGCTTACTTCTCGTTGCTCACGTCGTTCGCTCCCTCGTACGGTTGGTTCATCTTCCTGCGCAGCATGGTGGGCTGTGGAATCGCAGGAGCATCACAGGGGTCAGAACACACACACATACACACACACACAGACACACACAGACACACACACAGACACAGACACACACACACACACACAGACACACACACAGACACACACACACACACACACACACACACACACACACACACACACACACAAAAACACACACACACACACACACACACAGAGACACACACACACACACACACACAAAACACACACACACACACACACACACACACACACAAAGACACAGACACACACACACACAGACACACACACAAAGACACAGACACACACACAGACACACACACAGACAGACACACAGACACACACACAAAGACACAGACACACACACACACACACACACACACACACACACACACACACACACACACACACACACACACACACACACACACTAACTTTCATGTCGTCGATGTTTCAGGTTCGTGTTAAAAACAGAGTTCATTCCAGCAAAGCATCGAGCGTACCTGCTGCCTCTGGCCTCCGTAAGTCTTCATCATGATCTCCCAGCATGCTCTCTGTCTCTGTGTGATGTCATCATGAGCTCCCAGCATGCTCTCTGTCTCTGTGTGATGTCATCATGATCTCCCAGCATGCTCTCTGTCTCTGTGTGATGTCATCAGATCTTCTGGATGTTGGGCTCCATGCTGATCATCGTTCTCGGGATGTGTGTGGTTCCCACTCTGGGCTGGAGGTGGATGATCAGGATCTCCGTCACCCCGAGCATCATCCTCATCTTCCTCTTCAAGGTGAGAACACACCTGTCTGCTACCTGTCTGTATTCACCTGTCTGCTACCTGTCTGTCTCTCACCTGTCTGTATTCACCTGTCTGCTACCTGTCTGTCTCTCATCTGTCTGTATTCACCTGTCTGTTACCTGTCTGTTACCTGTCTGTCTCTCACCTGTCTGTATTCACCTGTCTGTATTCACCTGTCTGCTACCTGTTTGTCTCTCACCTGTCTGTATTCACCTGTCTGCTACCTGTTTGTCTCTCACCTGTCTGTATTCACCTGTCTGCTACCTGTTTGTCTCTCACCTGTCTGTATTCACCTGTCTGCTACCTGTCTGTATTCACCTGTCTGCTACCTGTCTGTCTCTCACCTGTCTGCTACCTGTCTGTCTCTCACCTGTCTGTATTCACCTGTCTGCTACCTGTCTGTATTTACCTGTCTATATTTACCTGTCTGTCTCTCACCTGTCTGTATTCACAACACCTGTCATCTAACAGCTGACAGGTGTTGTGTAGTAACTCAGGTGTTAGTTTACCTGCAGAGATCAGAACAGGTGGAGAAAGAATTAAAGCCGTTTCCTGTCTGTGTTTCTCTCGTCAGTTCATACCTGAGTCCGCTCGATATAACGTGTCGGCAGGTAAAGTTCAGGCCGCCATGGACTCTCTGCAGAAGATCGCTGACATGAACGGGTCGTCTCTACCTGCAGGACGTTTGATGGAGCCACCTGTGGTCTGTTCACACCTGATTTCTTTTTACCTGAACTCAACATTTCATTCATATTTGTTTTGATCACACGTCTTTGTCTCTCCTTCCCTCTCTCCTCTCCTCTCTCCTCTCTCCTCTCCTCTCTCCTTCCCTCTCTCCTCTCTCCTTCCCTCTCTCCTCTCTCCTATCCTCTCCTCTCTCCTTCCCTCTCTCCTCTCCTCTCTCCTTCCCTCTCTCCTCTCTCCTTCCCTCTCTCCTCTCTCCTTCCCTCTCTCCTCTCTCCTTCCCTCTCTCCTCTCTCCTATCCTCTCCTCTCTCTTCCCTCTCTCCTCTCCTCTCTCCTTCCCTCTCTCCTCTCTCCTTCCTCTCTCCTCTCTCCTTCCCTCTCTCCTCTCTCCTTCCCTCTCTCCTCTCTCCTATCCTCTCCTCTCTCCTTCCCTCTCTCCTCTCCTCTCCTCTCTCCTTCCCTCTCTCCTCTCTCCTTCCCTCACTCCTCTCCTCTCCTCTTTCCTCTCTCCTCTCTCCTTCCCTCTCTCCTCTCTCCTTCCCTCTCTCCTCTCTCCTTCCCTCACTCCTCTCCTCTCCTCTCTCTTCTCTCCTCTCCTGTTTCCGTTTCCGTTTCCGGTTTCCGGTTTCCGGTGAGTGTGAGTGTGAGTGTGAGTGACGGTGGTGGTGTTGCGAGTGGCGCGGAGATTGAATTGTTTGCTATCCTTTCTACTGTTTTCAAAGTGCACGATCAGGTCAGTTTGTTTTCATATTTGTATTGAGTGTTGTTGGCTGTGTAAGACAGATCGTTGGAGGGGTTGGAGGGAGGAATGGCGTCTGCTGAGACGCCACCTCCGACTCTCCGACAGGGAGTTCGGATAGTCCCTCCGAACGGTACTGTCACCGTGGAGGAGGTTCTGTTAGCTGCAGGTGAACAGGTAGGCCATGAGAAACTCTTGTATGCATCCCGAATGAACAAGGCTGTGGTTGTTTTTCTGAAGAGTGAGCCTCTTGTGTATCAGCTGATTGAGAGTGGTGTGTTCATTAGGGATTTGTTTGTGCAGGTTTCCCCGTTGTCGGTTCCCTCTACGCGGATCACCGTATCCGGTGTTCCGCCGTTTATTTCTAACAACTTGTTAGAGAACGAACTCCGCAGGTTTGGGAAGTTTGCGAGTGGGTTCAAAACTGTGAGTCTAGGGTGTAAAGATCCCAAACTGAAACATGTTCAATCTTTGCGGCGTCAGGTGTTCATGTTTTTGGATTCGCCCACACAGACTCTGGAGGTTTCCTTTAGAGTGAAACACGGTGACGCTTCTTATATGGTGTATGCGAGCTCGGGACAACTGAAGTGTTTTGAGTGTGGTGATGTGGGACACAAACGTTTTGCGTGTCCGCACAGACAGCGGGAGGCGGCTAGTGCTGCCGCTGACGCGGGCAGCTCTGTTAGTGTGGCGCATGTGGCGGGGGCCGCGTCCGCGTCCGTGCCCGGGGCGGGGGCCGCGTCCGCGTCCGTGCCCGGGGCGGGGGCCGCGTCCGCGTCCGCGCTTGGGGCGGAGGCCGCGTCCGCGTCCGCGCTTGGGGCGGAGGCCGCGTCCGCGCCCGTGCCTGGGGCGGGGGCCGCGTCCGCGTCCGCGTCCGTGCCTGGGACGGGGGCCGCGTTCGTGCCCGTGCCTGGGGCGGGGGCCGCGTCCGCGTCCGCGCCTGGGGCGGAGGCCGCGTCCGCGCCTGCGCCTTGTGCTGAGGCCGTGGCTGAGGTAGAAGTGGCTTCGACCAGCTCTCAGGCTACAGAAAAATCACAGACTGTAGATAATGATAAAACTGAAGATTCCACAAGTTCTGCAGTTGTAGATGTTTCATTGAAGGAAGGTAAGACAGTGTGTTGTAGCCAGGCATCATGTGAAGGAGAGTACATGGATGAAGATTATGAGTCAGACAATGCATCCATTGCTGATTTGCCAAATAGTGGCTCTGGTCTTTATTCTTTAGAGTCAATCAATCAATTTATGGATGAAACGTACAACAAATCAGTAAAAATCAGTGACTACTTTAGTGATACTGAAAAGTTCATAAAGTCAGTCAGCATACTGAAAAGACAGGTTGGGTTTGACCTCCTGGACGCAAAAAAACGGTTCCGTCTTAAAAAGCACATCACCGCACTGAGGAAAGTTGGACGTAAGAGTGTGAAGAAGACAAAGAAATGATCATGCATCACAAGGTGTTTTTCTTCTTCTACTGCTCCCTGTTTGTGTCTACTTGTCTGTTCTTTCTCTCTGATCTTTCTATGAGGAGTCTTAAGATAGGATCTCTTAACATTAATGTGGGAGAGACAGACAGAAAAAGGCCTTATCTCTGAGATCTCACTCAGAAAAAACATTGATATCTTGTTTTTACAAGAGACTCATACCACACCATCAGATGAGCAGATTGGGGTTATGGTGGGAGGGCTCTAACTACCTTAGCCATGGCACCAACTTTAGTGCAGGAGTAGCCATTTTGTTAGAGCATCTGCAAATGTAAAGATCGTCTCTTGTGCTGAATTGTAAAGGGAAGGCTTTTAATTGTAAGAGCAGAAATAGAGGACACTGTTTTCTGCTTCACTAATATTTATGCTCCAAATAATGGAGCTGAAAGGGTAGCTTTCTATACCCGCCTCCAAAAGGAGTTACTGATCTATAATCAGGATCAGCATTCTTGGTGGTGATTTTAACTGCACACTTGA